CACAAAGGAAAAGATCAATGTTATTGAGAACACAACAAATTCCTGTTGATTAAGATATTTTTGTTTACCTTTTTTTAAGATTTTGTAACGATTAATTTTGAAATATTTTAAGTATTTTTGCTAACATAAGAAATGTATAAAATGAATCATAATCTAATGTCAAGCTGCAATACATTTGTTTTTCCCCAATAGAATATGTCTGATATTTTGGGTCAATAATAAATAATGTTTAACACAGTTCTTGACTTTATTGGCGTTATCTGGGACGTGCCTTGGAGTTACTGGGGCCAGTTGGGTAGCCTAGTGGTTAAACCATACAGCGTGCATTGGCGTTATCTGGGACGTGCCTTGGAGTTACTGGGGCCGGTTGGGTAGCCTAGTGGATAAACCATACAGTGTGCATTGGCGTTATCTGGGACGAGCCTTGGAGTTACTGCTACATATCGGTTGAATCCAATTTGGAACTATTGATTGTGCACACAATTAAATACAATAAAACTGTAATGCATGGACGGATGCACACACTCTCACTCACTCACTCACTCACTCACTTGGAGTTACTGCTACATATCGGTTGAATCCAATTTGGAACTATTGATTGTGCACACAATTAAATACAATAAAACTGTAATGAACGGACGGATGCACGCACGCACACACTCTCACTCACTCACTCACTCACTCACTCACTTGGAGTTACTGCTACATATCTGTTGAAGCTAAGATGCAACTATTGATTGTGCACACAAGTAAATACAATAAAACTGTAATGAACGGACGGAAGGACGCACTCACTCACTCACTCACTCACTCACTCACTCACTCACTCACTTGGAGTTACTGCTACATATCTGTTGAATTCAATTTGGAACTATTGATTGTGTACACAATTAAATACAATAAAACTGTAATGAATTCCTGATGACTGCCTGCCTCATGTGAAACAACAGTGCTATTGATCCTAATGAAGTATATTATTTTTGTCTACAATATGCTGCAAACAAATCCTAGGCCTTCAATCGATGTCTCAGCCTTTGATAGTGTTTACCTTACCCATTGTGTAACGTTCCCTGGAAGGCGGGCCAATTTACTGTGTCATCCACGGGGAATTCTTCTCATGGTCCCATTGCCCTCTACCTGGTCAGAATCTAGGGCTCTTGGACCATTGCTGGTGATGGGAGAGTATTGAATATGTAAGTATTTTGGGGTTATGTTAGCATAACTAGGGGCTTCCCTTGCAGTCAAGCAAGGCTTATGCTGATAAATTGTGTCATAATACTCAGTGTTCGCAAATAACGTCTGACCCTCTGACAAAGCGGGCATATTCGCCAACGGTCCGATAGAAATCTACAACCCTCAGGCCCCAGTGTCTGACTGTATATTTCACAATAACTTGACTGACATTGTTGTATGTGACATGTTTCACTTGTTTGCTGTTAATAAATCTTATGTTAATAATTTCAATGTCAATTATAAGAAATGTTAAATCTGAAATGTGTGTTCAAGTTTTATTCTATGGGTCCTGTGAAGTTTCGATGGATCAGACAGACATCTGAAACTTACAGGACCCAATGTCCTGTTACTTTGAAACACCATTCGTGACCACTGAATACTGGAAGGTTTCACATTCAACAGTTTCACATTCAACAGTTGGGGCTGCAGGGTTAGTTCACCATTATTGGTCCCCAGGAATCTGTGCATTTTGCTCCTAATATCAATCACCGGTACAGACTTTATATCTTTATGGCAGCATAAGTATGTTAGTGCTAGGCCGAGATAAGCAAGGCTGGTTAATCTGACATTGCCTGCATGACTAGGGTGTAATGTTACACAGAGACAACCACCCTATGCTTGTAGATTAGTTTGGGTCTGAAGAAGCAAGGATGGTGATACTAATGAATTATCTCATATGACTTTATAGTGGCCCAGCTGCCTGGTATGTTTGTCTGCACAATGCCTTGGTTAACGTCTGGGACCTGCACCACTTTCTCTCACTCACTCACTCACTCACTCACTCGCTCACAAGACTAAGCAAGGATGAAAATACAATCCAGATATTGAACTGTGTAATATGATAAGAGGGTACAAGCTATCCAGAAGCAGCTGGCTCATGACAGATTCAATAGGTGTCCTTTAACTCCATGGTGGCAGATTCAATTGAAGCTGCCGCAGCGATGATGGTGATACTGATGAATTGTCTTGTGTGACTTGGGTGTGGAATAACACAAGTAGTCAGGTCATGATACAGATGACCTTGACTCTTTTATGGTTAGTAGTCCAATCATATTGCAGCACAGTGTTGTGCTGTGTATTTCAAACAGATGTACAGAGAAATATGGGTGAACGTGCTTTAGTTAGTCTGCCAAAAAGGTTGTAAAGGCTGTTCTGATGGCTGAATTTTGCCAGGTAAATTTCTGTTCCCAGATGTCTGTTGTGTAAACATAAAGTATGGTTGTGTGACAAAATGTTTGGAATGGAGGTGCCCAATTCTGCTGGTCAGTTTAGTCCCAGGTATTTTTTATGTCAAGTATGATAGTTCATGTTGAAAAAAGGTTTGGGGTCCATACATTTCATTGAGGGTCCAAGGTCATGTATAAATTCCTAGGTATTTTTGATAGCAAGTATAACAGTTCATGCTAAAAAAGGTTTTGGGTCCAAACATTTCATTAAGGTGACAAGGTCCAAGGTCATATATAAATTCCTAGGTATTTTTGATAGCAAGTAGAACAGTTCATGCTAAAAAAGGTTTTGGGTCCAAACATTTCATTAAGATGACAAGGTCCAAGGTCATATATAAATTCCTAGGTATTTTTGATAGTGAGTATAACAGTCCTTGCTAAAAAGGTTTTTGGTCTGTACAGTGTTTTTGAGGGTCCAACGTCATATATATAATGATGGCAGGGTTGGAACTTCACACAGTATAAATTCCAGTTGGTCAAGTACAAGTTTCCCAATATTACCGTTATGTTAACATTATAGGGGTATTTTTATCTTTTCCCAGACTAGACAAGCTTTTACATTTGGTACAAACCTTGTTTTGATAAGGTGAACAATATCACCAGCAGCAGATGATGGGTAATTATCAGGGATGTCTGTAACCCTGACACTTCGTGATACAGATGTGTCTGAACTGCCAGTCAGCTCAATAGGCAGCAATTAGTGGCCGACCATGCTTTTAACCTCCAGGCAAGGCTGAACTTACTCTGTAATACAGACCCTGAAACAAATATATTCAATGTAGTATATGCAAGTCTAGAATGTGTGACAAGTCTAGATTACCACAGTTTCAGTTTCTGTGAAATGAAGGAAGTCTCTGGCTCCATTTTATTGTATATTATTTGGATTTATGAAGTGTTTTTCCTGTAAAATATGTTCATTTCAGAGACTAGCCGTTAGTCTAGACTGAAGTATGTGGGTATGTGGATGCTATGCATTTTCAGCGTTATGATACTTGTCAAAACTGTGACGGAATCCTGCTACAGTTCATGGATTGGAACTTGGTACATGCGACAGTTTATGAACTGTTTTCATGTTTCATGTCAAAACGGTGTTGAATTAAAATAGCGGACTATGACCCAGATAGCATTCGGACGTTGGCCCAACGTTGGCAATGTTGGCAAAACCATTGCCAACATTGGGCCAACGTCTAAATGCTATCTGGGGATCACATGTTTCAAACACTTACGAAGTTTGTTGTTTTTTAATACACTGGGCATGTTACCAAGTCATTAAACAAACCTAACATATTGTTTACATACAGGCGTAGATTAGATGTTGCCTGTCAAGGATTTAATGTGGAAATATGTTGAATCCCATTTCATGCTGATAGAATTACACTGCCTGTTATATTGAGATGTATTCAGGTGGAAAGGTGGGAGAGAGATGAGGTTCTAGTGTTCTGAATTTGATTTCTACCTGAAATCACCCAGGAGCTGTAAAATACCATTAGCATTATCCATTGCCCAGTAGCCCATCTCACACTGGAGTTGTTTTACAAGTGTGACAATGATTAAACCTTCAAACAGGGAAGAGTCTCATTTCTCTCAGCAGTTAAAGGCATGGTATTAAAGTTGGAATTTGTATTTGCCCCATTTAACATATTGTAGACTGTTTTGGGCAGGTGCTCAGGGATGGTCTTTTTTCTGTAATTAGCTGTGGATAATGTATACCACGTGTTACATTGCAGTTGGTAAAAGTATTACCAAACATTATTCTACATCCTGTTTATCTTGAAACTACCCCTTACCAGACCCTGGTAATCTGGAAACTTCCCTTTTCCAGACCCTGTTAATCTGGAAACTTCCCCGTTCCAGACCCTGTTAATCTGGAAACCCCACCTTCCAGACCCTGTTAATCTGGAAACTTCCCCGTTCCAGACCTTGTTAATCTGGAAACTCCCTGTTCCAGACCCTGTTAATCTGGAAACGTCCCCGTTCCAGACCTTGTTAATCTGGAAACCCACCTTCCAGACCCTTTTAATCTGGACCCCGTTACTCTGGAAACTCCCCCTTCTAGACCCTGTTAATCTGGAAACTCCACCTTCCAGACCCTGTTAATCTGGAAACTTCCTATTTCAAACCCTGTTAATCTGGAAATTGAGGTCTATATTGTCACTGATCTTCAGCAACCCATGCTTGTTATAAGAGGCTACCAACAGGATTGGGTAGTGGGGCTCGCTGACTTTGTTGACACTTGTCATCGTTTCCCAACTGTGTATATAAATTTTCATGCTGTTGACCACTGGAATGTCTGGTCCAGACTCGATTATTTACAGACCACCGCCATATATCTGGAATATTGCTGAGTGCAGCATTAAGCAACGAACAAACTACAATTTGTGCTGACTTTGAGTTGGTTATGTCCTTTCCTGTATCATTTGTGGCTTCAAAATAATTAAGATTTGAGCCACAAAACAAATGCTTGCTAGCAAATGTCATGTGGATCCACAAAACTGTCAGGTATTTGACAAGTAATATATCCTACTTTGTTGTTATTTTCAGATAATGGTTTGATACAGGATGCACCCACTGTTAACCCTGTGTAGTTTGGTACTGGGACTACTGGCCTTCAACACACGAGGGGTTAATACTGCCGCCAACTCCACCACCTGGACCTTCAATGGAGTGGCTCACCTCACATTCAGGCCAGACTACCAAGATGACCAGAGCATTCATCTCAAGTTAAGATTTCGGACACGACAACCAAATGGATTATTGTTTTACCATTACCTGAAGAGTTACGATGCCAAGAAATTCCCGCTGTTAAAGAGCTACGAGTTGTTCGCTGAAATACGTCAAGGATATGTGCGAGTTGGGAGTAACTTTAATCAATATTCAGATGTTGTTCCAATTGGATCAGGTGAGTTTGTTTTAAACCATTTTTATTAATCTGGAAACCATTTTTATTTCTATTTTTTTAAACCATTTTATATTTATCGGGATGAAATATTACATTTACATATTGTAGAATTTCTGCTCATGACGTAGTCACAATTGTACATTCGACTCTGCATTTAGCAGAGATTTCTTATGAATGTGGAAAGGTGAGTGAGTGAGTTTAGTTAACGCCTCACTCAGCAATATTACAGCTGTATGGCGGCGGTCTGTAAATAATGAAGTCTGGACCAGACAATCCAGTGATCAACAACATGAGCATTGATCTTCGCAATTGGGAACCGATGACATGTGTCAACCAAGTCAGCGAGCCTGAACACCTGATCCCGTTAGTCGCCTCTTACGACAAGCATGGGTTACTGAAGGCCAATATTCTAATCTGGATCTTCACGGGTCGAATGTGGAAAGGATTTTGTCGCTTCTATTTTCAATAATGGAATGTGATCAATACAGTACAATGGACATGGTTTTGGATGATTAATCGTATCTTGTGCTCAGGGTTCACATAAATCAGTTTCAGTCAGATTTATCTAATTGTCGATGCGATCTTGATGCACCTTTGTAAATGTGAGGTCAGATTGTCTAGTCAATAATATAATATTCTTTACCCAGTTTACTGACCTTAACGATTGATTTTGAAACGAAATGACCCAGTCGTTGAGAATGTCTGGAAGCCAGTTACAGAATTAGATCTTATGCAATACATTTGAGGAGGTAGACACATCGACAGGCTTCTCTTTGATCTGCTACAGACGACTGACTTTTAATACCACATTGATTAAAGAGGGTTTGTATGTATAGCTGAGTGGATGAGGTGTTCATTTACTACTGTAGGGGATTTCTCTTACATGGGTACAATCTCTGAAACCTAATCTTGGGGCCCAGCTAGAGGATTGAAGAATGATGGCCAAAACAGCATGTAACACTTCCTGTATTGGATGGCTCAGGTGGCTGAGTGTTTCTGTTCACTGTTGAGAATTGAATTAGGTGGTGAAGAAACCTGTTTTCAGCTCAAGTTCCATATTACACTCACTCACTCACTCACTCACTCACTCACTCACTCACTCACTCGACCGCCTCCGTGGTGTAGTGGTTAGAGCGTCCGTCCCGAGAGCGGAAGGTCGCGGGTTCGATCCCCGACCGCGTCATACCAAAGGACGTTAAAATATGGTACTTGTTGGTCCCTGCCTGGCGCTCGGCATTAATGGGTACAACAAGGACTGGTCGGCTCGGAGTCAGTATAATGTGTCTGAGTGAGGTATTCATGCTTCACTGCGGCATGGTATCTCAGTGGGCTAGCACTATAAAACGAGCTTCAGTCTGGGCTAGTACAAGCAGCCGCACATACACATACACACGCATGCACGTCGTCATATGAGCGAAATATTCTCAAGCATGACGTAAAACCCAATTTCACCTCGCCTCGCCTCGCCTCGACTCGCCTCACTCACTCACTCACTCACTCCACTCCACTCACTCACTCACTCACTCACTCACATGAAGTAATTGAAATGCTAAATTTCTCTCAGTACACCAGCTATCGACCAGCATGTTTTGCTGTATGGAAGAGGCCCACAATCCTGGGTTCAATTAAGTATTTTTGTTAGCTAATAGGGGCGGTCGAGTAGCCTAGTGGTTAAAGTGTTGGCTTGCCACGCCGAAGACCCGGGTTTGATTTCCGACATAGGTACAATGTGTGAAGCCCATTTCTGGTGTCCCCCGCCGTGATATTGCTGGAATATTGCTAAAAGCGGCATAAAACTAAACTCAGTCAGTCAGTGTGTTAGCTAATACCTTGAGCACATAACCCCCTCATAATGACAGATCCCATTGCCCACTGACAGACACGTCTAAGTTTCACACAACATGTGCCCACATGATGAATACTGTGTCATTTCCACTTCTACCCTCACTGGAGCAGACGTTGTCATATCTACAGATACTACTTCCCAATCAACTACCTCACTGACAGTATTCAAGATTCTTTCAGAAATGTTTACTAACCTCAGAATGAGCTAGATATTAGGCAGTGAGACTCTTTTCATAGATTCAATGAGTCTTTCAAGCTTTGGGTTAAATAACTGAAAATAAACATTGAAATTCAGAAGGCATCATTAGGACACCAAATGATACTCCAGATGTTTGTGGGAAATTGGTTTGCCTACAGCACAGTTGGTATAGCTGTTAAGGAGCAATTAGAGTGGGCCCACAGGCGCTGTCTGACCAGCAGATCCGCAACAATTAGTGTGCACTGGACCTACATTCTGTGGGGGAATTACTTATTCATTGACTGTTTCCATGTATCCTGTGAGGTTTGCAAGTGTTCACGGTTAACACCTGGCTACCTGCCTTGTTCTGCCAGAGGGAGTGCCATTCGGGTTTAGATCATTATTTTTCATGCAACCCATCTTTCAAATTTAGTGTGTGCCAAGCTAACCTTGGTTAGGCCTGTAATGAATATAACTGAGGTCCCATTCAGACTTTGGGTAACATCTAAACTAATTATCCTATTTCCTGTCTGAATCCTGTCGTTTCCTTTGAGATTCACTAGAAGAATTTACTTTTTGTATCCTTTGAGAATGAAACAAGACTTTTATTTAATTCCGTGAAATTTTCTTTAGTAAACTGACCAGTAGCACCTTTCAGTTCACTCTGAGGGAACCTATACGTGGGTGAATATTGATGAACACAGTGTTGTAGCTATTCTAGTGGCAGCTGTCAAATGAAATACCCTCATGTTGTTGGGTAAAATTTGTTCTTTTAAATGCCGGATTTCAGTGATGAAAATAGAAGCCACACGGGAGTAGCAACATTCAACACTATTTGATATGGTTAAAAATAATAACCCCTTTCCTCAGTTCTGATGTCAAAACTTTCCCGGAAAGACTTCCGACCGTATCCCCCCTTAAATTTCATTTACATCAAATCATATCACCTGAATATATATATATTCCTCTTCTGATTAGAATGAGTTTTAACATGTTTATTAAATTGTATCTGAACATACTGAAAACATATCCAACTTCTGAAAATACTAGGGGTAGCCTAGTGGTTAAAGCGTGGTTAAAGCGTTGGCTCGTCGCGCCAAAGACCCGGTTTCGAATCCCCACATGGGTACATTGTATGAAACCCATTTCTGGTGTCCCCCGCCGTGATGTTGCTGGAATATTGCTAAAAGCGGCGTAAAACCAAACTCAGTCAGTCAGTCAGTCTAAAAATGCCAGTCAAAGAAATTTGTCCTCATTGTTAAAATGTAAGGGGGGATACGGGCAGAAGTCTTACAAGCCATAAATGAAGCAAGTCTAGATTTCCTCAGGTTCAGGTCCTGAATCTCCCATCTCACTGGGGCTCCTTTTCAATTTAAATGGGTGTATTTGTTATTATAAAAATTATATATATTCAGAAAGGGTAGTCTAACCAGCTCGCAATGCTGCTGATCTGCTGGAAAATAGGAATCTACCATTTCTAAGAGACACTGTGGCCTTAAACTAGGAAACTTGGTTTTCACCTGCTGACCACAACCCTTCAGTCATCCCATGGACCATCATCTGAAAGACATTCTTTAGTGCCTTGATTGCTCCATTGTTTGGGGAAAAGGTGGTCCATTGGCCTTGAAACCGAACTCACTCACATAATGTCTTTGTGCTCTTTGGCATTGTGCATAATTAAAACACAATTATCACTTATTCGTTACATATAATATACATTGCTGGTTATGAAAAAACATATAAACAAAATTATAAGCGTACAGTGCAAAAGTGCAATATTTTGTACTTGGGTTTACATCCCAAGAAACGAAGCAGCGGGATACCGAACCCAGTCAGAGCGGGTGGGTGTGCACTCAAGTGTAACGGCTGGTTCATTTGCAGATGCCCTCACGGCTCATTGTGTGTGTGTATATAGAGATGTTGGGTTTTGTTTGGTGAATTATTTGGACATTCCAGTGGGGAAATCTACAATCGGTGACATCCTGAAGTCCAAGGAAAATGGCTTACCATTCTGAAGATTCTACTGTGCCCTGTCTCCGGTAAGCAAGAAACGCCAAACATAAAGAAAATGGAGGAGGCTTTTATGGATGAATGATATGACCAGTAAGAATGCAGCTGTTAATACCGACGAGATGTTGATTCTGGAAAGCTTAAAGACTTCGTGACAAGTTGTCAATTAAGGATTTCGCTACAGATTCTCGTGGATGGCTTAATAGGTTCAAATCTCGACACTCGATTTCAAGCAAGTGCTCCAGGGTGAAGTGAGCCAGTGCAGAACAAGACTGCAGTCATCATGGAGGGGAGGAACTGAAGAAAGTTTTGCTTTAAAAGCAATTTTGCGCTTTTATTTTCAACATTGATGAAACAGGACTTTTACAGATTTAGGACCGAATTACACTCCTAGCAACTAAAGCCACATACCGGTGTGAAACGTCAAAGGACAGAATAACTGTGGCATTGTGTGCAAATGCAAGCGGAACTGTAAAAGTAAAGCCATTTGTGATCGCTTAAAGGCAAGAAGACCGAGGGTGTTTTTCGGACGTGATTTTAACCTGCAGAAGTCTATGTGAGATATCGACACAATACAAAGGCGTGGGATGACAAGTGAGCTGTTTTTGTGATTGGTTGTTGTACTTTGACAGACAGATGCGGTCACGTGTGGACGCAAAGTGATTTTGTATTTCTCGGCTAACGCTTCGTAAGTCACAAGTGTGCTTCACTAACTTAAATGTGACCTTTGCATTTTTGCCACCAAACACAACGTCACATATTCAACCGATGGATGCAGGGATAATTTCGGACATTTAAAGCATACTACAAGAGATCGCTTGTGAGACATTACATCACCTGTGCCGGTGGAGAGGCGACCAGAAACTGACTGACTGTGAGACAGGCACTTCTCTTTGTGAAAACTAGCTGGGACGAAGTTAGTGCGCAGACAATTAGCATGTAAATACATGCTCATATTTTTGTGTAT